TAGTTAAAAGAACTTTAAAAAAGCAAACACATTATTAAACACTATGCAATATAAGAGTCTTTCCTAGACTAAACAGAGCAGATGAGAATTCAGGACCAGGCCTCATTCAGATGACACATGTCTTGTTTTAACAATCATATTTCCCAAGTTGTTATTGTTTGTGATGTGCATTTAAACACCCAGAACATTTGCTTTTATGAGAGTTTTATTCTCTACTCAGTAAATAGCAAGAGGGTTTCCATTCAATTGACTTTCTCATAAAAGGTTTAATTCTCTATTCATTTTGGCGGTGCTTATATGTTCAATTTCTTACTCCAGCTTATATCTCAACTGAGTAAGTAAATTATGTTTTGTATGACAGACTGACCCTGTGTCAGGAGGAGAAGAAATTGTACTCGTTAGAACTGAGGACATGGCTGGCAGCAGTTTAGACAGCCCTTAAGAGAAAATGACTCTAGGGGCAAATCTGTCTTGTTGAAAAAAAATGAATGGCTAAGCATTATATAGAAATTGGATGCCTTATATTATGCTAAGCACTATCTCTGAGTACATGGTGCCAACAAACACAGATGTTACCATATTCTGTCCTCTGTCTTATCCTGTTATTTCCTAATAAAAGAAGTATGAATAGTGGCATATTAGAAACTTTTTATGATGATGTGCTTTTTGTGTCTTCCAGATACAGTTCCAAAATCATTAATCCTTGAAGAAATTCACATTAAACTCATTTCCCTATATTTATGATTCATCTAATACAATAATATGCTGGAACCATTAATAGGGTAATAGGGATAAATGAGTATATGTGGCCAAAAACTTCTTGGCATGATAATATGATCTTTCCAAAAGTGGGAACTCAGCTTAGTAAAAAATATTTTTTTTGCAGGGGGGAATAATTTTAAAAGTTTGCCCAAATAAAATTGCAACGCATATTACTAAATGTCATTACAATTTCACTTAAAATAATAATAATAACAATAGTTGATATTTATATAGTGCTTATTATGTGCCAGGCACTGTGCCAAGTGCTCAATATTGTCTCATTTGATCTCCAGAACACCCCTCGAAGTTAGGTTCTATCATCATCCCTATTTTACAGAAAAGGAAACAGACAAACAGAGGTTAAGTGACTTACTCATGGCCACATAGCTAGTAAGTGTCAGAGGCCAGATTTGAATTCAGGTGTTCCTGACTTCAGATCCAGTGTTCTATCCACTGTGCCACCTGGTCAAGCAACTTCACTCAGGAGCTAATAGAGATTAACTAATGAATAAAAGGATTCAGCCCCAAATTCCAAAGGAGGCAATTTCTGTGTTTAGTTTCATCTGACTCATGCCTAGAATAGTCAAGGATGGAGGGAGTTTGACTACCCTAGACTGTATTATGCAACTACACATATATAGCATACATACACACATATATCACATATATGTATATACATTTCTGTGGGTATATATACATATCTGTGGATAGACAGATGGATAGACATCTTAATTTTTTGTTGTCGTTCTGTTGTTTCAGTCATATCTGATTCTTTATGATCCAATTTGAGGTTTTCTTGGCAATGATACTGAAGTAGTTTGCCATTTCCTTTTCCAACTTATTTTATAGGTAAGGAAACTGAGGCTAACAGGGTTAAGTGACTTGTCCAGAGTCACACAACTAGTAAGTGTGTGGGGCCAAAATTGAACTCAAGTCTTCTTGACTGCAGGTCAGGCACTCTATCCACTGCCCCATATAAAGTCTTAGAAAATATCTGTATATACACTAATAAGAAATTTAAACCATGAAGGCTTTCTTTAGGTTCTATAGCATAAAATAATTTATTCTTTATTACTATTCTCACTTTTTCATCATCATATATTTGATGGAATTCAGATAGAGATGGTCACTATCCCACTATTCTTTTTGTTTGATGTTTGGCCAACTATTGTGTGGTTGGATAAAATGATTACTTCCTTTGTAATGAAATAAAAGTAGTATGTGAGTGTAATGACGAAGTGAATGCAATACTAACTTCAGATTTGCTGAGATTTGGTAATCCCTTAGAAATCATCCAGTTGCTGAGAAATCAACATTTTATGGATTACATAAAGAAAGAATTTCAAAAGTATCTTAGTGCCAATGAGTGTACTAACTCGAAGTAAGAAACTGTTACTTCTGAAACTTAGCAGCAGACATTGCCAATCATGTTTTTAGGAAGGGAATTAAGGAAACAAAACACCACTCTGGCTGGTACACTTGTCCTTGACCATTAAGTCTCTGTAGCAATTCATAGAGGATATCTACATTATGTAAAACCATTTGACTGAAAAGTAGAACATTATGTCATTCCAATGCTTTGTCTACATGACACTCAACATCGCAGGCTTACAGATCCATTTGCTTGTTAGACAAATCTTCAGTATAAGCGGAGAATTCACACTGAACAGAACAGAAGACAGAAATCAATTACATAGATTTCATTATTTTTAAATATGATGGGAATGATTGAATTTCCACACGTTAAAATGGAAAAATAGTAAAGTATTGTTCTAACTAGCTTCCTAGAAAGAAGTTGTTACTACAGTATTTTATTGATTTGTAAAATGGTTCTAATCAAAGGGAGAAATAAATTGAACTGAAATCTACCAGTGTCCTCTTTGCACCATTAAATTGGGGTATGATTTTTATAGTAAAAATGACTTCTGCTCTGTGAATAGTTTTTGTGAATAACTTGTAAAATTTATTTAAGATTCACCTTAGTTCACTAAAGACCTGAAATTATCCTCGTATTTTCAGCTTTCTTTGGGGCAATTGACTTTCCATGCATCATCTGATTATAGAGCACTATTTCTTATGCAATCAGAAAAGTTATAACAATTTTCTGTTATGGAAAATATTTCATGTGAATTTACCCATTTTGAAAAATCGTATGTTTATGTTTTTCTCTTTGTGCAGAACTCTGAGATGAAAAGGTTTATCGCATCATCTTTGTCTCAAACTTACATTTCCACTGAAGTCTTTTGATTAAAATAGCAATCCACTCCTAAAAGCACAGGTTCCAATCATGTAATGCCCATAGACACTACAGACAGACTCAAATGCTGAACTGAGTTAATGGATTCTGTGTCAAATTAGTTAAATGATTGACTAATCAATCTAATTACTAAAAAAGCTCTTTTGGTCTGATTATTTCAATTTTAATGATAACCACACTGATGATGCAGTTTCACAGATAAGCATTTGGTACTGTTTGAGACTTGTGATTTCATCAGTGTAGGGAACTTCCAGTGTGGTAATGTCTTACATCAAAGAAGATTGTCAATATCCATGTAACTTTTAGTCTCAGAGAGAGTTAACTGCCTAGGACACCTTGGGGTTAAGGAATGGTCACAGTATGGGTTATAGGAAGGATTTAAATCTAGGCTCCCATCTGAAAGGCCAGTTCCCTATCTACTATACCATCATGCCTTTCAACCAAACCTTATGTCTGCCCTACATCAACTACAACTACTGAAGTTGATGGAATTGTGAATTGAAAACACTGTATTCAGTGATATATTGACAATCTCTGAAACAATATCTACCTATCAAATTCCTGGCACTGGTTTCTGTTAGTGAAAATGAATAAAAAAATGTCAAACATATAAGCCCTCATAAAAATTTGAATGGTTTTATATTTAAGAATAAAAGGATTGAAATTTCATCTCCTTGTTCCTTTGAAGTACATTCTAGTAAGTACTAGAAGGTATATTAGGGTCTATTATCGCCTCAGGTAGTTTGGTGATGGCCTTTCTCATTGATGCAATGAAGCCCAAGGTACAACATACTGGGAAAACAACAACGATTTTGAGTAGATATTAACTTGTTTGAGGTACTTATAGCATGATTTAGAAGTAGGAGACTGGATCAGGAGAGTTAAGTGTTAAATCACAAATTCAAGTCACAAACTTTGCCATATTTGTTCTTTCTATGAGCTCATGACCACCAGAGCAGAAGAATTTTCTCAAATGGCTTACATAAGGTCCTAACAATGGTCAAGAAATTTAAAGGCAGGCTTCTCTAAGAAGACTTACACACTCATATTAATCAGTTGCTATATTGTATCATATTCATATGTTACAGTAGCACAGTATAGTGAAGCTGGTCTTGGCCCTGCCTCTAACACATACCAGCAGTATAACCCCAGCCAATAGCTGGCTTTGTCGTTATTCTAGGCTCGTCTCTCCAAGTTCATAAATTGCAGAACAGTTCTGAACCTTCATGGATAGAGAGTTTCCTTGTTAGGAAATTCCCTACCACATGCACTGAAATGAAATAGAATCATATTAATGAAACCATAAGTCCATTCTTATCCCTCTTCTATTGTTATGAACCTCCATAGTTTTAATTTCTTTTAGCTTCCTTATGTTTTTATCCCCTGAAACGGGCCCAAAAGATCTACTCTTGTCACAGTTTTAATGCAGACATCTTAAGAGAACAGAATGACCATTTATTCTATTTGAGGTGATCTTCTCTGGGTGGCATTGTTCTATTGTTATATACATTGACCATGTGTAGTCAAAGTTGCCTTAAGTGGTCCATAGGATAAAATGTTATAGGATAAATTAAGTACTTGAAGCACATATTGGCCACCTGTTTCTCATGCAGATATCATTTTATTCAAATGAAATCATAAGCTCACAAACATCAAGTTGGAAGGGACCCTAAATGCCATCTAGTCCAATCTCATCATTTCACAAATGAAGAAATTAAGGCCAATACAGGTTAAGCAGCTTTCCCAAGATCCCAAGATTTCCCAAGGTCAGAGGTGAGATTTTAACCCTTGCACTCTGAGTCTAGAGTCAATGCTATTTCCACCATGCCATGTCGCCTGCAAGTAAATACACAGTGTTCTACTCATAGACACAAATACTTTTACATTTCCATTTTAGACCTTTATGACATTCTATGCTCTGACCATGCACTAGATAATGGGAGTAATGTAAAACGTAGGAGATTGTTCTACTTGAACTTACCTTTGAAGAAGCAATCTTCATTGTGAACTATGGTCACCTTCTGTTTTTTCAGACAGGCAGCTCTGTGTACTTCACAGTGGTTTTCATAAAATTCTCCATCTGACCCACACACAGGCTTGTAGTGAGGCTTGCAGTGGTCCATGCATGCACACTCAGCTTGCTCAGTCTCTCTGTTAATAACACAGTGCCTTCCCAGGCCACAGTACTTATTTTCACAGGATACAAGTGGACCATCCTGATTGAGATACCCTGAAAGAGAAAGAAAAAGAATATAGTCTGTATTTGCACAGCTTAAGTAATAGACTTTTCTTATTCTTAAAATACATTCTATATTTTATGAAAATTATCATAGTACATGAATCAAACAACATCCATGTTGTAGGGAAATCAAGATGCAAATGACTTAAAAGTCCAATGACCCTTATTCTCAGGCATTTGTGGTTCATCCAGCCAGTTTAATCTAACCCCACTGCCAGTCCACAAGAGGTAGGTCTAGTGTGGTTCAAGGCTTCAAGCATTAATTACTGTGTGGACAATTATCTGAGCATAAGGAAAAAACTGGAGACAGATCTGGAGAGAAGTTATCTCCTACAACTTCAACCTTGTTCATTCACTGTTAGAAGTTATATCTCAGAGTTGCAATTGGTGAATCCCACTGCCACATACGTGATAGTGTCTAGCCACAAATACCCCTAACATACCAAGCACATGCATATACATACACACAGACTATGTTTCCTTAAGGATATTAGATCTATTTACACATCATTAATATTATCTACACACAGAAAAAGAGAAGGGAGGATTAGTCTGTCCTCAGGGTTTTGTAATTCTAGGAATTTTAGCTGTGAGAAATTTCCTTATATGCATTTCAGTTTTCTTTCATTTTTTCTTATTTTTTTTTGAGAAAGGTATAAAAAGGAAATATAGTTTCATTAGTGTAGAGAACTCTCTAAGAACATTTCCTCTATTACTGCAGATCAGCAATTGTCCTGCAATTTTTGAGTTTAGAAAGTTGCCTGGGGTAGTTAGATGTGAAATGACTTGCCCAGGATGACCCAGCCAGTATGTGCAGTATATGTGTTAGAGACAGGACTTGAACCTAGTTTGCTTTTCCCCTATAACTATGAAGTTAACATTATCTACTATGCAATGGTGCTCTTCATGTTTCCAGAATGTATGTATGTATGTATGTATTTGTATGGATATTCCAAACTTTCTCATCTTATAAATTAAAGTACATAAAGGCCATGAAATTTGATCTTTAATCCTCAAAACCTGAGTTTTTTTTAATAGTATAGTAAGAACAACAGTAAATATAGGAGTAAGATTCCAAAAGTGCTTTAAGTCTATAAAATACATTATATGCCTTATTTTCTTTTTATCTCACAACTCAAGCTCATTATTTTATCCTCATGCCTCATGGCTACTGACTCTTTTCCATTCTTTGGATACATAATTCATTTTCATTCAATCAAGTAGCATTTATTATACACCTACTAGGCTTCTGGCTCTCTGCTAGGTGCTAGAGATATAGAGAAAAATATAAAATAGTCCCTGCTATTGAGGAATTTACATTCTACTGTTTTCTATTGAAGAAAAGAACATGGACAATAATAAAAATTACAAAAGTAAGAGTTTCTTGTTTTTCAAAATGTTTTCCCATATATTACACCATTTGTTCCTCAATTAATGTTGAGTAGAAAACATTATAGATGTTAATATACCTTTTCTCAAATGTAGAAAGTAAAGCCAAGAGAGATTAACTTATTTTCCCAGAGTCACTTAGCTAGTAGGTGTCTGTGAAGGTATTCAAATACAAATCTTCCTGACTTTAAGCCTAGTATTCTCAACAGTACTCCAAGGTGATTCTTTCCACATAAACATATATCAGAGTCAACAAATACAACAAGTGTATACCAAATATTCTATTAAAATGATCAAGTGATTCCTGCTGATTATAACTAAAACTGTCACTGCTTTAATTACTAAGTCATTATATAAGTTCTAAGCATAGATCTGGCTCTATAGAGCTCTATGGAAACCTTTTGGAGAAGGAAATGGCAAACCACTCCATTATCTTTGCCAAGAAAACCCCAAATGGAGTCACAACGAGTCAGACACAACTGAAATGACTGAGAAACAACAACAGAAACAACTGGAAGACTGAAGTAAGATTACTCCTTTTTCTAAGATTTATCTATCTCTAAATTCCCTTTAGATTCTAAATCTATGATCCTATAATCCCATAATATATTTCTTGTAGGCCACATTTTAATAACCCACAAGATATAAAATACCGCTTTGAAAAGTGAACCTTGAAAATATGCTTAAATATGGATAAACAAATAAAAAAATTTAACAAATACTTCAATAAATTTTGCATAAATTGTATCAGACTGTACTGGAGCTTCATTAAACATAGGAAAAGTACAGAATTTAACACTTGACCTTTGGAGTCTATTTAAATGTTGCAGACTTGTTCCCTCCTTAAGACAATGGCAAAATGAGTTGGAATTTGACTTCAATTGGACTTTTATATGTTTAAACCACAAACAAAAGTCTTAAAGCTAGTGATTCAGTTAAGATGGTTGTATTAGGAAATTGGTCATTTTCTAAAAGTTAATGACCTGTTTTATACAAGCCAGAAGCTGCATGTTGCATGTAACTGTGGAACAATTAAAGAAAATTTAATTAATTTATATGTAATCCAAAAGGGGACTCATATTATGTAAATGAATGGCTAGAACATGTCCTTTTTGACAGTAATTGCCCATGACTAATGATAAACCCTGGTTTGGGATAAGATTAAATCAGTTTAATCTGATTATTACATCAAGGTATACTTTTAACTACATTCAGGCTATCGCATACCAAATGAATTGCAATCATCACTGAACACCCCTGTATAATTTAACTTGCATAAAATTATTGATTTTTCAATACTTTTAACAGCAAATTGTACCATCAAAAGTTTCACGTATCTGTAGTTGCAATTCTGCACTTTGAGATCATTGTAATGATTTCTTCAAGAAATTTAGAAAACTGAAGCATCAAAACAAGACCAACAATAGTATACCAAATCAAAAAGTAAAATACCCATGCTGTAACATAACCTTGCCATAATGACAATGCTCTATTTCAAATAGCACAGCAGAATTCCTAGTAGCAGACATATATGTAGTACACTTGAATTAATATCTATCCAGTGTTTTTACTTCGTATTCTATGCATTCAAACCATTCTCTTCAATCTCCCTCCCCCAAATTCAACCCTCTTCTGAATTTCCTTATTTCTGTTCAGACTACATCATTCTTTCAATCACTGGGGTTCCCAATTTGTCATCCTCCATTCCTCACCTGCCATATCCAATCAATTGCCAAATCTAGGCAACTCAGCCTTGTACATTGTAACTGGGCCTATGTTCAAAGCCTTTCTAGCTTGGTAATATTTAATAGTACTGCAGTTACAGCAGTAAGGTGTATAAAAGTCTACCTCTAGATCATAATAAAGCCCTGAAACAGGATCTAGGAGGAAGTAGTGTCATATTGACTTTCTATCAACTTACAAACTATGCCACCTGTACTCTAAATCTCTTCTTCAATCCCCTCCTACCAGAGGACTCTGGATTCTGCCCTGGGTTCTGAGTTCTGTAAGTGAGTGAGTTTTGACCTTATCTTGCCCAGAACTCAGCCTCCTTGTCACTTCCTAACCATTTTCAAACTATACTGTCATCCTCTTTTCTAACTCCCCTTAATTGGAAATGCTACATAACAGGCCTTGATTTGTTGTTTTGTTGATTGCTTGGACTTAAGAAAATGATAAAGAAAATATTAGTAATTCAGCTTAAACTTAAAAGTGTGTCATGCCTTCCAGAGAGCTAATTGTTATACATTCACTAGAATACCACAGCACACGTTTTTTGTTTTTGTTTTTTGGGTGAGTGTGTTTTTTTTTTTAAAACTAGATGAAGTACTTTCCTGACCACTGGCACTACAGAGATCATATGTTGGGAGACGACCTTTTCAGTTCTAGAAATCCCACCCTGAAACCTGTGCTTGCTGAACTGATGAGTATATACACAAAGCTCACTGTTGTAGCCAGACCTAGCCATGCTTCACATTCCACCTATCACCTATCACCTCTCCTACTGTCCTGTACCCTCCTCATTCTTACTTCTCCCTATATTCTATTTCACTTAGTGATCCGATCAACTCCCACGGCTTCAATTATCTCTATACTCAATATTCTTATATTGACTTATCCAACTCTAACCCTTCTGCTGGTCTCTAGTCTTGCATTTCTAACTACCTATTATATATCTTATACTGGGTGTCCTTTACATATCTTAAACTCAATATCCCAAATGGAATTTATTATTTTCCCCAAAAAATTCTCCCCCTCTCTTTCCAAACTTCCCTATTACTATTGTGGGCACCATCATCCTTTCATTTACTCAGGCCCACCATCTATCCTCAACTCCTCATTGCTTACATAACCAATCGATTGCCCAGGCTTGCTGATTTTCCCTTTCTTGCATCTCTCAACTAATCCCCATGCTCTCCTTTGACACTGCCATCACCCTGGTACAGGCCCTCCTCACCTCACACCTATACTACTGAAATAACTTGCTTCTTGCCTCAAGTCCCTCCCTACTTTATTCTCCACTCAATTCTCAAAGAACTGTTCTTTAAGTGCAGGTATGAGCATATCAGCCTCCTACTCAATCTCCAGTGCCTATCTTTTATCCTTTTATCTGGGATAAAATGAGAAAAAAAAACTCTCTGTTTGGATTTCAAAGTCCTTCATACCATGCCCACACATCTTTCCAGTCTTCTTCTACTCCTCATTTCCTACCATGTACTTTGTGATCAAGGACACTGGCCTCTGTGCTGTTACTTGAACAAGATATTCCATTTTCTAACTCCCATCATTTCCACTGGCTATCCCCATGTGTGAAATGTTCTCCCTTCTTTGCTTCCTGGCTTTCTTAGAGTCCCAGCTAAAATTCAACCTTCTATAGGAAGCCTGTTCCCTCTTAATTCCAGTACCTTCTCTCTGTGGAATAGCTCCAATTTATCCTATATATAGCTTGTTTGTACATAATTATTTTCATGTTGTATCCTCTTTTAGATTGTAAGCTCCTCAAAGGAAGGACTGTCTATTACTTTTCTTTGTATCACCAATGCTAAATACCAGAGTTGGCACTTTTAAGTGATTATTGATTGAATGAATTTAGAAGATAGATG